ACCGCTTGTCGAAACGGCCTTGGTTTTGGTATGTAACACTTCGTTGTAAATCTCAGAATTATTAAACGTTTTACGCCTAAACTCGCGATCAGCATCTTTACAGTTTTCAGGAAGAGACTATTACTTTCTTTTAAATAAATGTGGAGGTTTCGATTACTAGAATGATTTGCATATTATTCTAATATCAGTTGCCTATAAAGTTTCTCATTTTAGTAGAGTGTTTCATTGTTGTAACTGAGACAAGGAGCGATTAGGCACCGTGTGTCATGATTGGCAAGTCCCTTCACCGACGTAGCTCGCCAGATCAAGTTCGGCTGGTAATGGATAGTTCTGTAAAGCTGAGAGTGTTGCCAGCGTCACGCTGCAACAGGGCCTTTGTGCTGACGAGCTTTGCAGTTTCTGAGCGATTACTGAAATTCGGCTTGGCTCGGCAGTACAATGTGCTCTCGGTTTATCGGTTTTGGGTGTGAGCTGCTCGACGTATGGTCATATACAAATATGGGATTTTTTGTTCAGTGAGGTTTTTGAATGCACGCGTAAGTTCCTTGCTTAGCATGACGTATCCTCCTCCTCCTTTCCGTTCTCTTCTTTGTTCCCCTTTCCTTCTCGCATAATCAGCATCCCTGTTTCCACTTCCTAACTTCCAGCAAGATCTCAGTCCTTTTCAGTCAATATCCTAGAACTCTCTCCTTTGTTACGACCATCTTAGACTTGAACAAGCACCGCAGATCCTATCTCTTTCTTTTCTTGGACACCTACACCGCCATCCTTCTCAGCCATCACAAGTAATTCCCTCAACTCGGTTTCGTCAAGCGGAGTTAGGTATTAGTAAATTCTTAGGTAACTGTCCTGCTGAGATATAGCGCATTCAGGGAGATGGACACCTTTTTTTGTTATAAAAAAATACCAAATTAAAGCTTGTTATAACTGACAAGTGAAACACAAATCACTGGCGACACGCACCAGGCGAACCGGTGCAGTCATGTTTTCTTGAACTATTTGTAGCAAAATCGCGAGGAATCCCAATAGCTAAAATTTGCGAAATACTGACCTTCGAAGTTCAGAAAGTCAATTGTGCAGCTATGTAGTGTGTCAATTGTAGAGGTTGGCTTCAGTGACTCGATAAATGGAAAGTTGCTGGTGCGCGAAAATGACCCCATGAGGAGAGCTGAATTGGGAATCTTCTAATCGCGTATGAGTAGAGGGCATCCCCCTTAAAATTTCAGCTTTCTCTTTCCCGAGTTAGTAATTTTTCCGCCAAAACTTTTACGTGTTTGTGTGTGGGACACGAACGGTTCCGAGGAGCTAAAGTTGAAACGTTTCAGTCATGCAGTAGAGAACATTCCCTCAAAATTCCAGCTTTCTAGCTTTTCCAGTTCCCGAATTAGCAATTTTCTCTTCAGAGTTTACATGCCCAGACCTAGGACCCGGACGGTTGTAAGGAACTGAATTTCCAATCTTTTGGTCGTACATGAGTGGGGAAATTATTTTAAAGTTTCAGCTTTCTAGCTTTTCTCATTCACGAGTTACCAGTTTTTCCACCAACTTTCACGTGTCCGTGCGTGAGACGCAGACATGCACGACAGTTTACATTATGTCCGTAGAGTCGCACTTGGCCGCGGAATATGCTGCCAGTATTTCAGCATCAAAGCTTGCGTATTGCTGAGTAAAAATACCCGGACAGAAAAGACACACGCGTACACCCAGACAGGAATCATCGCAATATGCGTTTTGCTGCCGTTGCAACGTTCTTTTGCTGCATGGCAAAAACGCATTATAAAAAAGCTAAGTCCGGCAACAGGGGTTGAATTTCATTGTGGGGAAGCGGCAGAATCGGGAAATGATGGAAAAGCTGAACAAACGTTGATTTGTAAAAGACGTCGCCATAGTTTACGAAATGCTTAACTAACCGGCTTTAGCTGTGGGCTGAGTTTTCGCGCATTTGACTGTGTTTGTTATCTTTCCTAAATGTTTACACATAGGTGCCGCACTATTTAGCGAAAATTACTTTTTCAATAACGTATTGTTTTATGACAAAAAACCGCTCTGGATCTGTATGTAAAAATCGGAATGAAACGGAAAGGATCATTTAGAAAACGGCACAAAGGCTGCCGGGGAGTACCGAAAAACAAGAAATCTCGACCGAAGATACAACGATTACTCTGACTCCGTCGGAGGATCGGATAAACGCCATCCGAGACGATTTTTTGGATCCAGAGAATTTACGAAGGCACGGATGGTGCAACAAGGAAGGAACACCCTGGTCAATTAATAGGTACGACAGCGACAAAACATCCAGTTTATTACAGCACAATTTTCGATGCGCATGCAAACATAATTTTGGGGTGGTAGCAGGAAATGTTGGAAAAAGCGAATATTCATTTCAGTTGGACAAATAAATTGTTTTCTTCCATGCATCATCAGTAGCTCCTGTAAGTTTATCCGGTCTGCCCTTGAGAAGTTCCCTGCGCCTACGAAAGATGCAGTCATACCTAATGTAACTGCATCGTGCCCACCTGCTTGCAGCTCACATTGTGCACCATGTCCTCGTAAGTCGTTGTTCGAGCGGACATAACCTTTTTTGTGTATGCTAGTCGCTGAGGTATCGCTTTCACTGCCTGCCCGCGAAAAGAAGGAACAGGCTTCACTGTGCAGATTTTACATCCTCTTGACGCCAAAGGAATATTTTGCTGCACTGATAAAGCATTTTGAATATCTCTGTGTTCATCAGTAGATGCCCTAAGCAAGCTTCGTTTCATCGTATTTCTCCCCCACAATTATTTTCCTGATTTTATCATTCTCCGCATCTCGCTGTTTTTTACCGTTTTTGAATGATATGGCCTACAGTCGTTCTTGTAAATTCGTGTTGTGCAGTCAGAGATTTTTTAGCCGACTTCAGTTCTTGACCAAGGCCGACATGTATGTCCACTTTTTCAAATCATTCTAATGACTGAAAGAATATATGCCCAGAGGCAAGAGCGGCTGCGATGGCAGTCTCCTCTTTTCGACTTTCCAGAAAACTCTGGCTTCAAAACGTTAAAAATTTCAGATAGTTCATATGCAAGCATAAGCAGAGAGCAGTTTTTTCAGGCCGAAAGATGAAGCAGATCTGCTGCAGGGCGGACTGTGGAAACCAAGTGAAGCGCAAACGGCACCAACAAAAGATTCTGCATCGCCTCCGAAAGACTATTTTGATGAAGTAGAACTGCGAAAAAAGAAATTAGCGACGAGGTACAGCCTTCCAAATAATCACCCACGACATCTAGACCCTGTCTTCAGTGCTACTGAGATGCTATCATATGCAGAAGCAGCTCCACCGGTGCCTTTTACTTTGGACTAGTCGCCTGCACCAGACGTCTGTGGTTTTTCTTGACTGCACGAGATGTGACGTCTCAAAAAGCGTTTTTACCCTTATTTTCTGTGGTTTTGGAAAAGCTTCAAAAAGCAAACTTATCCATGCTGGAATTTTCCTAACCCAGTGCCTGCACATTAAGACAGAAGATGGCAAAATAGCGTGGATAATCTAATGGCATTGCATTTTAGTAGCGCTGGCGGTAGGTATGGTGAACAAGCTGGATCTGAAGGCGAGGCCAAGGGTCGGAGCTACAGTCCATCGCACTATGGCCTCAGCGATAAAAATCCAACTGTTGAAAAGTAACTGCTTCTTATATAGTATCTTCCAAAAACAAAAAAATTCGCATCGCTCAGACTGATTTTGATGAGCACTTGTATCGCATTCTTTCTGCTGTTTCCGACCTGACTACCTCTGCAACGCAGGATTGCTCCCCTTTTAGGGCGTAGCAGTATCCAGATAAAAAGGATAAGTAGGATGCAATTCACCGGAATGTTTATGTCAAACTGAAGAAGACGTAAAAGATTTGATTTTCATTTTTTGGCACAGGTAATTTCTGGACAAAATGAGAATCGAAACATTTTCTTCCGGAATGTCGGTTCTCTAAAATTTACAAAAATAATCGAAAAACTAGGCAGTTAATAAAACTTAGTTCCGATCGACCCGACTTGGTTGCGAGGCGAATTGCAATGATTGTGAGATACCGTTTTGGAAGGAAGGCTTTGGGGGAAGTACTGGGGATATTGGTCTAGGTTGTGAATGACACAGCGGAAGCGAAAGAAATAAAATAGTGACTGAAAAGGAGTTGGAGCCTTGCTGAAAGTAGGAATTAAAGACTGAGGCTTTCGCACCATTCATTCAAACTTATAAACGAGTGCATTTTGCGCGACCAAACAGTGTTAGTAAATATTAAAACTTACCACATACACACACACACTATTAACTTTTTAAAATTCCCAGCCTTGTAGACCTTGGAGAGTAAAGAAAAACGCCCTCAGCTGCTATTACCATTGGTGGTTGGTTATATTTAACACAAAAGTTTGTTTAGCTACGTAACAGACGCAGAGATCAATACACGTGGATATATAGATCGATACGGACGAATTTATTATGCAATTCCAATTCTGCCCGAAAATAATGAATCGAAAAAGGGTGGCAAGCTGCCACAGGGTCATGTGATTGTAACCAACAAACGGTACTGTGTAGACAAGTTACATTGTTGCCAGACTTTACTTCGCTGCATAGTCTTGTGCTTTAGGTTTCACATCTTTCCGTAAGCTTGGGCAAAACTTTTGTTATATATGCATTTATGTGCTTTCTCGCTGCAACAGCGATGCGAAAAAGCAGTTGTGGCGATACCCCTGACTCCTTTTTCTCTCTCAGTAGATGTAATAGTCTGTTTGACGATATATTTCAACTTGGAAATTACGAAATATTTTGAAAACTTAAATTCTGTGAACGTCCTACAAGATCTGGAATTCCCGATGTGCCGACCACTGATCTCAAGTCTGTATTTCGGCAAAATTTTATAACTCAAGTACCAGGAAAGTCGAAAACTTGTTGAAAAGCCTGTGCATTATGCAGGGTCACACTTGAAGTTAACTTTCAGATCCCATTCCTATCTGTCACTTGTGCTCCTAATTCGGGCTAGTTCCGTAGCATTGAGAGCCAAAAAAGAAATGGAGAAAAGGTCTCCTACTGTGCTCAAGATCACAAACAAATAACTAATCTGTAATTCTTTCTGCACTCTGCTTTACGACTTCAGGACTAAATTCATATCGATTTGTGATTTGAGAGCATATAAAGCTAAGAAATTGAAGTTTTCAAATTTTGATTTGGTACACACTATCCATGCGTTATTTTACAGTGATAGTCGTGGAGTTGGAAATCTATAAATGTGCCCTTAATTTTAATTGTAGAACCCAATTCCATTTGAGATTACTATTTTTGAAAATCAGTCAATATATTCGATAGCCTTGCCATACCTGCAGTCGAATATTTTGTGCGTTGTTTTCTGTTCGTTTCTCTTTATAATTCACCATCGCTCCGTCAGATAGCTTGAAGAGAGCAGCTAAGACGAAACGTACGAACCTCTCCGATTTTAAGCTTTTCTGCATAAATTATGTTAAACTCAAATGCGTTTTTTCAAATTTCTATGTAAATGCAGTCATTTACGCCGCGCGCCAGGCCTACCGTTCCGATCATGCGTTTTTGCATGATATACTCAGAGAGTCTCAGCTTCATAGTTCACTTAGCTCCAAAAATCGTTCTTCTGTCCAAAAATAATTTATCATGAATTCGCTCATGAACAGTAAATACCCATAAAATCAGAGGAATCTACTCACCCTGGCTCACGAGTTGGAGTTTTGTCAATTACTGCGAAAGAGCGAATTTGATGTTTCTGTATACATGAAATCCGATGCATTCAAGCTGAATTTAAAATGTTTAGCTCACATAAGAACACAGAATATCCTTGTGAAATCTCAGCTATTTACTTTTCCTGATTCCCGAATCATTTTTTGCCCGGTAAGTTTACATAATTCTTTCAGATGGTAGGAGTCCGCAGGTGACGTTTAGGCGTACGTGAGTGATGATTTTAAACATGGAGCATCGCAAATGGGATGGGAAAATGCTCCAAAAATTTCAGTGTTCTAGCTTCCTCGGTTTTTGAGTTGGAATTGTGATAAAAGTGTGGACACACACACACACACACACACACACACACACACACACACACACACATACACTTTTTTTTTTCTTAATGTACGTGTTTTGGTGTATATAAATATTCTGCCACAAAAATTGCCAAAGATCATCCAAGCGGTGTGTCTGGGGATTGATGTTATTATTACTAGCCAAGTGCTGAAGTAGTAATGAGAGCGGCAAAGAAGAGGGAGACTGAAAGAAACCTGAATAAAGGCTGCTAATGTTTGCACTACTGCAGAAGCGAGCGATCCATACGCAACTACAATCCGGATGTGGAGTCCAGCTCTCCGAAGAAAGCTGATGCTGCTGCTGCTACTGCTGCTGCTGCTGCTGACAGTGCAACAGATGGTGTTATTGGAAGAATCGAGTGCCGCGTTGGCGATAACACCGATCGTGGAATACTGCACTACCTGGTTCACGATAGTGGTCGCACATATGACATGAAATGCCCTGACGGTCGCACTGTTGTGCTCAGCTTTCGCAATGAAGTTTGTATTTTGGCACCGAACACACATTTTTTGCCATTGATAATGTTTTCTTTTTATGGGCGTTTTCGCACTGTTTCACACAAAGGGGTGAAATCAGCAGGACGGAACTTCGCAAAATCCTCATTTCAGAAAATTTGCTGTCTTCTAGTCCTGTTCCCTCCATTAAAAACCATAAAAATCGTAATAATTAGTAACAATCATTGGCGAAGCGAACCAGGTAAGCCCGTGCTATCATGCCTTTTTCCAGTATTTCGTGCTGTAGAAGAATCACTTGGAATCACAATGAGTAGAATTTGCAACATGCTGGTCCTCGGACTTCAGGAAGTGAGTTGTACAAATAAAATGTGATAATTGGACAGGGAACATTCCGTTAAAATTCAGGCTTTCCTGGTTCTCGAGCTAGTGATTTTCCCGCCAAAAAGTTTTGCGTTTTTGCTCGCTGTAACAGCTACAGCACTGCACTGCAAAAATAATAATAATAGTGGTAACAATAAAAATTTACCATAATAAGTCGAGTTGAGCGCTAGCTCAAAATCTTTGATGCAGGCGTCTTGCAAGCCTTTGCCCTCTGCACTATTTTTTCTAAGATGATTCTGAAGGTATTATCACTTATATTCTTTTTTCACGTGCGGTGAGTGATACTTGCGGGAAAGTAACGGCCA